GTAAATGCCTTTCTTTTGGTCGAAAAAGCCAAATTTTGTGATTGATTTGTAAAAAACAACAAAAGAGGTAAAACATCCAGGGTGTGAATACTTTTTAAATCATCGTGAAAAAGCTTTTAAAATTCTAGTAATGTGTTAAAAAATTAAAAATACAAACTATACTAACTGTTCCTTGGCAGCTTTGGTCCGCCCCTCAACATAGGCCCGTGCAGCTTCATCAACGATGGCCGTTTTCTGGTCCAGGCTACGTATAAACTCTGAACAGCCAAGCAAACTCAGAGCCACAGAGGCTTCCATGACAGCCTGCTGGGCCTCTGGCAATGTTTCTGCATCCAATATCTAGGAATGAAAGACAGAATCTTTAAAAAAAAACTTCAATTCTGAAGTAAAGTACACTCTGGATTAGCCATTTWGGAAAACAGCTTTTGGTAATTTCTATGTAGACAAACTAGCTTAGGTGTCCAAAYATGCCTTTATTTCTGCAGTCAAAGCTTTCCCTTTATGTCAAACTAAGGTAAATTCCAAACTGTGTCTGTTGTCTATACTAGTTTGTATTAGAACTACAGTTTAAAAATTTTATATTCACATTTTGCAGCTTGGCCTTCAGATCAGAATCATTGACCTCTTCCAGGCTAACAGGGGCTGCTGGACGACATCCCATGTTACAATATAAGCAGCTGGAGAAAAAGCATGGCTGTATTCCTCCATGTACAACGGCCACACTGACCATTTTCCACTCCTGCAAAACAAAAATTCACTATTGCACATTTCAATCAGTTTTTAGTGACATTTTGTTCTTAATTGTATTAGTGTGATTTTTTCCAGAAATGGACACCATCACTAAGGTTAACACATGAACAACCACAGATCATGTACTGTAACTTCATCTTGAAACTTACCACGGGCCACCAAAGACAAGTTCCTTYCATCATCTGGACCACTGAAATATTGAGAATCTCTGATTGAGACAACCAACAGACGAAGGAATTCCCTAGTGGGCCCACCATCATCAACAGCCCCTTCCCCTGTCCCATCACAGTCAACAAATGTGACGTTTAGGCGGTGCAGTGGTGAAAACCTTTGCCTGCGGAATGCCCTAAAGGCACTGTCCAACACGGTGTSTCTCATCACCATGATGCTGTTTGCTTGTGGAGGGGGCCCTGGGTCCATCTGGGAGCTGATCTTTTTAAGAATGGCAGTCACATCTAGTCTGTTTTAGTTAACAAAAACATAAGAAAAWTAATGCATCTGTACATGTTCATGAAGACATGCAAAAACTGGAACAGTTACTGGTGACAGACAACTTCTGAGAAATRACAATTAAACCTGTCACAATATACAAATCAATTAAATGTATGAGAAATTAAATTGAGGAAGAACAATTAAAATGAAGACAATTTTTATTTTCCTGGGTTTTTTTTCCTTCACAGCTCCATATTTTTTTACTTCCTAGCGTAGAACGGAGTGAACTCTGGTGTCAGGTATTTGCCAGGTGCATGGTCTCTCAGGGTATTTGCAGGTTTTAGCAAGTCAAATGTAAGACTTTTTAAGTCCTTTTTAATACCACCTTGAATGAAATTTAAGACCGAATATATAAGCGATGGTCCATGGATTCTGCTGTATTACAACCAAGCACATGTCTGTCACTCAATAAAAAGCATTGAATATAAAGATATTCAGCTCTCTGGTTAAATTAGCTGTTTTGTACAAGTGCAGTTATTTGGTCGGAAACAACCAACATAAATTCATCTACTGAATACATTCATGGCATGAAACTTGTGTTTTAACCTCCAGTGTTGCCTTTATACAAAAATAAGTCATCCAGCCAACTATCAATAAACCTGCAGSATCACTGTCCAACAAATGTCTGAAGGAAGAGAGGTTTTAACAACTTTCTGTAGTTTATTTTAATGTAATTTCAGTGTTTTCAATTGAGGTACTCTGATAAATTCAAAAAATTATAGCACATAAAGTTCCTTTATAAGAATATATTACCCGTAGGTTCTTTTTAATTTTTTTAATTTAATTCATTTATTTGTTTGTTTTTTTGAGTTTCACTGATTTCTCCCCTAAAATCAACATTTCATTCAAAGGGAATATTCATAGGATTACAGCTCATGTAGTCAAACTGACTGATGATTTGACATCCTTCTAGAAGGCAACTTGTGACCTARTATGGTCAAAGGTTTTCTATTTCTAGTGACAATCATAGTCAATAC